AAAAACGCATGACAAGGCATGAATAGTTCCCCAAGCTTTAAATCACTATAAACGCTTTGATCCCTCGATGATTCGAACCCGGGCAGCCAGAGATGACCCCCATTGGCTGTCCAATACTAATACCACTCCACCATCGACTGCCTATAAGTGATGGAACTCGCATGCTTCTACGTGGGTTCCATGACCATCCATCACCCGGCAACACTCGTGGTATCTTTTGAGTAGAGTTGAAACAGTTTCTGTAGCCTTCCCCCCCCCCCCCCCCTTCCCCATCACAACACTTCTCAGTGTATATCATTCATTGACACTGAAACATTTTTGTAGTGTATCTAAGGCTCATTTGTGCATTTAATTTCCCTCTCCCAATATTTGTATACCACGCATGCAACAGATTGGCTCATCAGCCTCAGTCATTCGAGTATTTTGTATGTCACGATCAAGTCACCTTCAGTCTTTCTTCGTGCCATATCCCTCGCAATTCAAGGGGCGAGCCTCGTTGCAAACTTCTGAATCTTTTCTAGTTTCTTCAAGGGATTTTTTGTAAGGTGACACGATACCGTGTCATGCTCTAAAACTGGTCACACGTACGCTGCATACAGGGCCAAGATTCACGAAGCAGTTACGCAAGTACTTATGAACGTGTATATCTTTCCTCAATCTTTGACGGCTTTGTTTACATTTATTAAACAGTTTACAAGCATGAAAACTTCCCAATCAACTATTGTTATTGTTATAAACAGCCTCCTAGTGCTTCGGAGCTCATTAACTGTTTAATAATTGTAAACAAAGCCGCCAAAGATTGACAAAAGATGTACAGGTTCGTAAGTTCTGGCGTAACTGCTTCGTGAATCTGGCAACTAGGGTCTTAATACCTCCTTATTTAGGTTCCTGAATGATGTCCTGATGTTCGCTTGTGCAGAGTATGATGCTGTAATTATCATATTATATGAGTTAGGTGTGATATTATAGCGACTCCTGGGTCTTTACTCGTTATCGGGAGGTGGGTTCCGTACATCGTGTACTGTCATTTTGTGTGAGTATATATATATATGTGTGTATGTGTGTGTGTGTTTGTGCGTATGTACTTTCAAGCCAACCCTATTAACCTCCAAAACAAACGCACCTCCAAAAACAAACAAACCTCCCAAACAAACAAACCTCCAAAAACAAACAAACCTCCAAAAACAAACACACAACCCTTCAAAAACAAACAAACCTCCAAAAAACAAACACACAACCCTCCAAAAACAAACGAACCTCCAAAAACAAACACACATCCCTCCAAAATCAAACAAACCTCGCAAACCAACACACAACCCTCCCAAAACATTCATTCTTCAGCCAACACCACCTTCTCACCCACGTAACTTCCCTTTCCACCCGGACCAAAAAAATACAAAATATCTCCCCAGCAATTGACCAGCAGGAAGACTGCCATCGTGCACAGAGTCAGCCCATCAACGTCTGCTCCAGGACTGGGGTTAATTTTCCCCAGGAAACAAGCGTGAAAAACAGACCCCTTAGGGTAATTTCCTGGCCTTTGGGGGAAGCCCCTGCAACGGTATCACGCTCTGAACAAATCCACAGGGGCCGTGACGAGGGATGCTCTCGGACGTAGGTTCGAATCCTCGTCACGGCCCTTGTGGATTTGTTCATTTGATGCATCACGTTATTGTGATTTCTGTGTGTGTATCACGGTCTAATTGTAATCAATTATCGGTTAATCACGGTCTAATTGTAATTTCAGTCTCCGTGGTGTAGTGGTAAGACACTCGCCTGGCGTTCCGCGAGCGCTATGTCATGGGTTCGTATCCTGGCCGGGGAGGATTTACTGGGCGCAATTCCTTAACTGTAGCCTCTGTTTAACGCAACAGTAAAATGTGTACTTGGATGAAAAAACGATTCTTCGCGGCAGGGGATCGTATTCCAGGGACCATAGGATTAAGGACTTGCCCGAAACGCTACGCATACTAGTGGCTGTACAAGAATGTAACAACTCTTGTATATATCTCAAAAAATCAATTTTTTTTTTTTTGCAGGGTTCGAGCCTCAGACGGTGTTCTACACATGAGAAAGGATGTTTGAACGTAATGGTCAGATGCTAATAGGGGCGTTCCAGCTGGGGCTTAATGGGGCAGTTTGGGGGTGTTAAGATGGTAAGTGTCTAAGTATGTTTTTCAGTATGTCTATGTATGCGCCTGATAGCTGGGTGGACAGCGCTTCGGATTCGTAGTCCTGAGGTTCCGGGTTCGATCCCCGGTGGAGGCGGAGACAGATGGGCAAAATGCTTTTTTCACCCTGATTCCCCTGTTGCCTAGCAGTAAATATGTACCTGGGAGTTAGACAGCTACTACGGGCTACTTCCTGGGGGGATGTGTAACAAAAAGGAGGCCTGGGTCGAGGACCGGGCCGCGGGAACGCTAAGCCCCGAAATCATCTCAAGATAACCTCAAGATATCGATAATGATCACTATGACACTGTGATTATTATGATACTGTGATCACTACAATACTGGTGATCATTACGACAAAATAAGTGAACTTTATCTCAAAGTCAAAATGAATGAAATCATTTTAGAAAAATAATTTCTGATCTAAATGAAAATATTTCCGGTAATGGTTCCTCCGTCAACTGAAAAGGACATAATATTGTTGAGGTAAATATTGGCCTGGGAGATGTAAAGATGGCGGCCATGACAGAAATATATTTTTTATATTTGTTTACTCATAACCTGAACCTCTCTCTCTCTCTCTCTCTCTCTCTCTCTCTCTCTCTCTCTCTCTCTCTCTCTCTCTCTCTCTCCTCTCTCTCTCTCTCTCTCTCTCTCTCTCTCTCTCTCTCTCTCCTCTCTCTCTCTCTCTCTCTCTCTCTCTCTCTCTCTCTCTCTCTCTCTCTCTCTCTCTCTCTCTCTCTCTCTCTCTCTCCTCTCTCTCTCTCTCTCTCTCTCTCTCTCTCTCTGTCGCTCCTCTCTGTCTCTCTCTCTCTCTCTCCCTCTCTCTCTCTCTCTCTCTCTCTCTGTCTTCTCTCTCCTCTCTCTGTCTCTCTCTCCCTCCTCTCTCTCCTCTCTCTCTCTCTCTCTCTCTCTACCATTTCCCCTCTTTCCCCTCTCCCAGGACGACTAACGCAAGCTTCCCCAAGCTCCAGTTCTCTCTTCTTGTTGACACACTAGAGTCAGGGTGCTGCCAGCCAACACACTGGGCACTGTGAGAGTGAGTCTGTGTGTTACCTCAATATAAACCAACAAATTAGATCATTTCAAGCGATGGAGCGATACCCTGTCTTATGTGGCAACAACTGCTGATTGCACACGTGTTGCAAATCAAAGCAAAATCATTAATTAACGGATGGAGATAAATTCTTTGTGGTAATTTTCACATGTCTATTAGGACTCGTGCGCATTTATCTAAGGACAGGGATGAATGTATTAATGTGTCAATGGAGATAGGTAATTTTAATACTTGTGATAAGATTAAGAATTGTAACGTTTGTTGATAGAAATGTTCGAGATGAGAGCATCTTGGAGCCATCAAAGAGGACGAGAGTTGCAAATATCACGCACAAGTTAGGAGCGAAAATGTGTGTGTGTGTAGAGAAACAGTTGATGTTATTGGAATCACATTACCATGGGGGAATTTCGATTTCAAGGAACTATTAATGATATGCTAAGTACCGATTGAATATTTTGTCACTGACAGAAGATTTTAATTCTTTGGCGACAACAGTTTTATCAGATAAACATTTATTTAGAGTCTCACGCAAAATATCAAAACAAAGGCACACATACAATTACACAGGAGGAAAATATATATATATATATATATATATATATATATATATATATATATATATATATATATATATATATATATATATATATATATATATATATACTTCAAATTATGCAAAGCCAATTGGACAAATACAACAGCCATGACCGTCAACATGAAGCATGTTGAGGAGCCCACAAAGGAAAATAATATAACAAATTATTATCAACTAATTTTATATACTTCTTCGTTAGCTCATTTTTCCTCCAATTCACCACCTCTCTCTCGACATAGAAAATGAAACAGGATAAGGAAAAATGAGCATTCTGAAACCAGCTTTGAAAAAATGCTTTGATAATATGTAAAAATATAAAAGGAAGAAACAAACCTTAAATTAGAAAATGTGGTCCACTGAAAACAGAATTACAGCTGAATGGATCACTAGGAGCGAAGGTTGGAGGGAGAGAATAGGATACTTAAATCAAGATAGAGAGGCATGGACCATTGGAAACCAAGCTTATTGAGCACTGGGCCAATCAAAACTAAGGCTAGAGAGGGCTGGATCACTAAAAACAGTTCGATCATCTAACTTAGAATTTAACAGAAAGTGACTAAGAAACTGGTAGTTTTCTCAATAAGCACCTCTTTCCTGGCCCTTACTAGAGGTCTGTCTGTATGGCTGCCATCTATCACAGCTGTAAAGGGAGTGTAGAAAAAAGATTAGTTAAAGTAAGTGTTAATTCGGACGCGGTAAACATAACTACAATAATGCCAAACAAGACCCCAAACTCTGGCGAAGTATTTGCCAATGTTTCAACAAAATGTGAAAAGTTTAGTCAACTAATGTTAAAGTATTTTTACTCAATCACTGAAGTTGGGAACTGGCAGAGCATTAAAGGGTTGTGTATGTAGTTTCGTGTTTTAAAAATTGAAAGTCAATCCCTTGCACTGAACTAAATGTAATGCCAATTGTGGAAAAATTACTTCAGATGAAAATTTTTCAATATTCTGACTCCTTTGAAAAATAAAATATTAATAAATGACTCAAAGCGCTGAAAATTATATATTTATACTAAGCAAACAAACGTACAAAAATAATAAAAAAAACATAAATATCACTTAACATTTATGCAGGAAATGATATGTGAAACATGGTAAAAAGAAATTTCAACCCCAAGAAAACAACGCATTAATGCTCTTCAATGTTTTTTTCTATAGTTCTTATTACTTACGATTCTAGCTTGGTTATACTTCAACACTCTCTTGCCCGTTCCAGACCCCATTTGGGTCACCCTGCATAGCTTAGGACAGAGTACTATGTAACTGACGCAAAGTCTCTAGTAAGTACGGTACGATGATCAAACTGTCCCTAGGAAAAACAGGAACTTCCCTTTATGAATATATAATAAATGTTCTTTCATGGTGTGAAGCAGCTCCCCTAGAGCCCTGAACTCCCTAACCTTGCATCTCTTCAACCCTCGGCAGGTCCTCTAATCCTCCCACTCTGCCCCTGGTAGTTTCCCCAATCCCTATTCCCTTTCCTCCTATCAGTTCAACCACCGTTATTCTCCTTCCCTCTAACAGTTCCATTTACCCATATTCTCCCTTCCTCTGACAGTTCCCTTACCCATAATCTCCCTTCCTGTGGCAGGGAAAATAGCGAGGGGGCCTCCATCCGTCACCCAATCACATTTGCAATGCAGTGCATATGATATACACCATATGAACGGCCCCCATATAACCGGCACTATATAAACCTCACCATATAAACGGGACCATATATACGATACCATATAAACGGGATCACGCGCAGCATCCTATAAAGTGCTCTCAATTCATTTCGTTCCATTTAATAGCAGTGCTAAAAAAAATCAGTTTATACAGGAGCACTACATGGCTGCCTATGACTGTTTTAATTGTTCTCTGCAATGCATGCACCAATTAAATTTCACTGTGCAACTCTTGGTCCCTTCCAACTGCATTGCACAGCATTTGTCCACTGTAAATAGCGCTGGGGGAGGTGATCTTGACTTGAGTGATGGGAAATTTGTAGACCATTAGGGCTTCATTAAGGAAATTGTGCTGCTTTTATGTACTCGCTTGATACGGTGGTGGACACGGGACACGCACATGGGGGGGGGGGGGAGGACACGCACACACACGCGAGACACACACGAGGGATGCACATAGGTCACACACACACACACACACACACAAGCACACACACATATACCTACTTAAGTCTTTCCGGCTTGAAACGAACGCACGCACGAGGAAAGCCATTACAATAACTTTAGTGGATCGGAGTCTCCAACCACACACACACACACACACACACACACACATAAACACACACACACACACACAAACACACGAAACATATGTTCTTTACCCTACCTTCTTATTCTCCACCTCCTCCTCCTCCTCATTTTTCCCTCTACCCCCCCCCTCATCTTCCTTCCCCCTTTACCTGCTTCCTTTCTAGCCAGACTCACAAAAACAGCAAAAAATATACACACACACACACAAAAAAAAAACATTCAGCGCTTCGCTTCAAAATTCCACGGACACAACACTCCACATTTCATTTACAACACTCGCGACAAGATGGGGCGCTGAAATCTCGTATAAGTTTTCGCCTAAAGTTCGTGTGTACACGTTGTCAGGTCGTGCATAGTGTCCCACAGGCCTGGAAGCCATTGCTTGCCTACCTTGATTGTGATATGTAAGGGGAGGCGCGAATATGGGTAGTAGTTGTTATTGGGGAAAAGAGGATATGGGGGGAATGGGAATTGAACGGGAATGACTCGTCTCGAAGGGAGAATGCACAGAATTGACGCATTTACAGGTATATTTACTTGTTTGATAGATTGTATGCATACGAAGGAGCGGTGTTTTACGTTTCCGTGATTGTGTGTGTGTGTGTGTGTGTGTGTGTGTGTGTGTGTGTGTGTGTGTGTGTGTGTGTGTGTGTGTGTGTGTGTGTGTGTATTTTGTTGTACTCATCTGGATGTGTTTGCAAGACTGCATGTTATATATGTAAAATGGCATCGGTGCAATATTTTCATAGTCTCGCTGTCTGCTTTCTCTTTCATCTCGGGAGAGCCTAGAGTGTGAGGTGCAGAGCGGCACAGCCTACAATAGGATGTAATATAGAATATGTAAAATGAGAGACTACAGAAATAGGGCGAGAGAGAGAGAGAGAGAGAGAGAGAGAGAGAGAGAGAGAGAGAGAGAGAGAGAGAGAGAGAGAGAGAGAGAGAGAGAGAGAGAGAGAGAGAGAGAGAGAGAGAGAGAGAGAGAGAGAGAGAGAGAGAGAGAGAGAGAGAGAGAGAGAGAGAGAGAGAGAGAGAGAGAGAGAGAGAGAGAGGTGCCATATGAACAACCAAACAGATGGTCCCATTTCACTAACACATTAATTTTGAAGCTCTGGTCATTCAAAATACCGAATCTTATAGAAGGCATTTGGGCAGTAAGCTGATTATAAATATATATATATATATATATATATATATATATATATATATATATATATATATATATATATATATATATATATATATATATATATATATATATATATATATTATAAAACATGTGTTTCGTTGATCCTGTCAACATTTTCGGCGGTAAAGTAGAACTGAATACAATCAAGCTTCTAGCTGGTGCAACCGAATATATATACTTTACTGCTCCTCACTCTCAACAGCGAGTGAGTAGCAGTAAAGTATCGCTTTTACCCAATAGCTTACCCATCACCCCTATGCCAGTGGTGGCTGGGGAAGTGGCCTGGATGCTCTGTCTTGGTCTCGAAAATGGAAGCATGTAACAAAGCTTTAACTGACTTTTGATAGTTGGCTGAATTTGTTTGAGGTACAGTATTTCCCCTGTGTCTAATCCTCGATTGTCGTTGTATTTGTCTATTATATCATTGGTAATTGTCAAACTGTCTCTGGTGATGATTGGATTGTGTGTAGAGATTACAATCTCTTAGATGGGGCCTTGACGATTGTGCATTGTCAGGCAGGTTACAAAAGGTTCTCTTGTCTTCCTTATATAATGATATCGTTGGGGCTGACAGTCCCCTGGTGGACGTATAGGCAACATTCGTCCCTTTCAGTTCATTTAGCTTGGTATCCGGGGTATTTTTCATGAGCAAGTTGGCGGTCTTCTTTCTCTTATAGTATATTATACACTCGATCTTCAGGGTGGAGTCGGCAGGGTCACCTGTCCATCATTAATGTCACTCGGGACTCTTTCCTCCGTTTTGTGATCCGTGGAAAAGAAGGTCCTGTAGAATAGGAAAGAAATATAATGTATTGTTGGCCGTTCCGTGCAAGGTAGCCTGGCCCCCCTCACCGTCCATTAATGATCACTTCAACATATCCGCGAGAACATTCATTATTGAATACGACCCGCCTACTCTGATGATTTACTCGTCAGCCTGCTGCCAACTGGAGCCAGGTGCGAGAGCTGGGTTGACAGAGGCGTTGCCAACACTTGTACTGTGTCATGACTCTCACTACCAGCATTAAGGCATGTTTCTATGTTGGTTTCCTTACTATAGACTGCAGTGTGACACCTACCGTTTACTTACGAGACTGCATTTTACTAATCAGTCAGATGACAATGACAGAATATAGCATAAGAATCATATCCATTCAGAACACAAACACTTGTGTTTCTCCAAACGTTGTAACGAGGATTTTCCTGCCTTACCAATATATATCAAATATGTATATTTGACATATACACATATATTTTTTACAGCATTCTTGACAGACACAACCAACAAATGATTTTAGCGAGTTTCTAATCTAATTTTTCTTAAGTGGTTGGAGATTTTTGCTATGTCTTCTGTGTAAGAAAGCACAAAAATACTTTTGATAGACTGAACTTATCTTGAGCTTGGATTATAAAATGTTTTCTTAGCTTGCCTAAGGGCAGCATTTATATCTTATTTGGGATATTGCAACGCTTGATGTTATCTCAGAAATCTTCATCGTTTAGTTATCAATAAACTCTGGTTTATAGACTCGCAACGCTATCAGAAACATCGACGAGAACACTAAATATTGAACTCAGATATGATAGTTTGAAAAATAATTCGCATAGGAATATACATTAGTTGGTCTCCAATGAACACTGAACTTAAATGTTCTATCTTTCCTATATAACATAGTACCCAAGAAAACTGTAGAGCTCCATTGTTTTCCATTTCAGTTGTCAATGTAAAAGAAGAAACAAACGTCGTTGGGTCATCTAAAACACCCATTAAGGTCGAGGCAGACCAGCCAAGAACACAACTTATCAACAACATAAATGAACACTTCAGTATCAACCAGTAAGATACTAGACAAAATCATAGTTTCGAAAAACTATGACAAAGACCAAAGGGTTACCCACTGCCATTCTTAAAGTCTGTCAACATAAAGTTTATCGTAAAACTCCAAAAGTATTATCCTTAACGCATCGTAGATAACAATACAATCATCGAAATCTTGACGACCAAACTGAGGTGCCGGAATAACCCCTCGGCCTACACTTGGACTGTGACCTTCAACCACTGAACCTTAACCTTGAGCTACAACGATTTTGATCGAGCGTGGCGAGGCTCCGGCGCTGTAGCGCCACCAGGAACATAATGGGAAAAAAATCCACAGCAACAGTCGACAGCAGGAACAAAGTGGAAGTTCCGTTCCCAGAGGGGGAGGAGCTTAATCCGGTCCCTGGGAGGAAGTTGTGTTTTGTTTTTATGGAGATGTTGGAGATGGTCTGAGATGTTGGAGATGGTCTGAGATGTTGGAGATGGTCTGAGATGTTGGAGATGGTCTGAGATGTTGGAGATGGTCTGGTCAAAGATGTTGGAGATGGTCTGAGATGTTGGAGATGGTTTGGTCTGAGATGTTGGAGATGGTCTGAGATGTTGGAGATGGTCTGGTCTGAGGTGTTGGAGATGGTTTGGTCTGAGATGTTGGAGATGGTCTAGTCTGAGATGTTGGAGAGTATCTGGTCTGGGATATTGGAGATGGTCTGGTCTGAGGTGTTGGAGATGGTTTGGTCTGAGATGTTGGAGATGGTCTGGTCTGAGATGTTGGAGATGGTTTGGTCTGAGATGTTGGAGATGGTCTGGTCTGAGATGTTGGAGATGGTTTGGTCTAAGATGTTGAAGATGGTCTGAGATGTTAGAGATGGTCTGGTCTGAAATATTGGGGACGTAGCCTTGGCTAATTGAGTCTCATCGAGTAATTAAAATATTTTTCTCTGGAAATTTACAATTAAA